GCTGCTCCGACCCGATGCCACAACAGGGACAAGTGGGAGCAAGCCCCAAAACCCAGCCAGAAATGCCCAGGGACTCCCCAACCGCAACTGCCTCTATCCTTGTCCTCCTGCCAGCCAGGGACACTGCCTTGTCACACCCCACCAGTCACCTCCTCGTCTTCAAAAGCCCTCCTAGGAGCCCCCCTGCCCGGGTTTCTCCTCTCTGCTCACCTCGTCTCAGCCTCCCCTTCATGCCCCCCGGGGTCTGTCCCCGGGAAGGGACTCCCTGTCACTCTGCCCCACCAGCAGCACCATCCAGAGGGTACTTGCAGGCTGTCGGTCCCCCTCGGAGGTCCCCTACATCCCCCTTCCCAGCCCTGGAAATCCCTCCTGCCCCCTCCTCCTCCTCCCCAGTGAGTTTCGGTGGTGGTGACCGGCATCTCGGCGTGCGCGTTTTGGGATGGGGCTGGTTTTTATCCCAGCCTCCAGACAGATTACATGTCCTGAAGGTGCCGACTCGCCACGTAGGGTTGCAAAGAGGAAAATCTCATCACGAGGGTGTGCACCCACGGGGGCTAAGCCCAAGCGGCAGCTGGGGATGGAGTTGCCCACCAAGGCTCCCACCTCCGCTGCCTCCAGACAGCAAGCGGTTAAGGCCAGAAAAAGACTGTTTCCTTTTTAAAAAAAAAAGGCAGAAAACCTCTCAGGGCCCAGCCATTGTGCTGTGTAAAATTCACTGCCCTGATTGTTCCCTTGTGCACTTTAATGAGGCATTAATTGCCGGAGAAATTACCCAGGCATGTCACCCTATGAGGAGAGCCAGGGGCTGCAGAACGGGTCCCCCCTGCCACCAGCACAGGCACCTGCCCCAGAGCCCCTCACGTCCCGCAGAGCCCTTCACGTCCCCCTTCTTCTTGGGGGTGGACGTCCCCTCTGGCCATCCTGGTGAAGAGGGGACTTGGTTTCCCCAACGGCGGAGCCCCCCGAGCCGAGACCGTGGGGCCAGCCAGCTCACGGGTCCCTGCAGGCACAGCCCCCAGCGTGGATCCCCGACACGCAATGCCACCCCGAGCTGCTGCTGCTCCCCACGGTTTCCCTTGCTGGCAGACAGCACCGATGTGCCAGGGGACCCGCAGCTCTTCCTGCTGCGTCCCAGCCACGTCCCACCAGCTCACTCCCACGGCATCCCGCACAGGAGCCCTCGCCGACAGAGATGGAGCTCGCTCTTCATGGGGCTCATCTGGGATTGAAACGGCTTCATTTCCTCCGTGCTGTCACAAGCCGCGGTCCCCATTCCCTCCGTCGTGCTCGGGGTGACATGCACGCTCCCCCTCCCTGGCCACGTAAAACGGAGGAGTCTCTTGCTGAAAGCCCTGGGCTGGAAACTCATTCTGCTCGGAGCACAGCGGCGTTCTGCGCCGGTGCCAGGGGCTATCCCTGCTGCCCACCCGACCTGGGCGGCTGTCCTTGCACTGCGTCCGTCCCGAGCAGGAGGCTGCCTTCCCGCAGGGAGAGGACACAAGGCTTTCAGAGGTTTGCTTAATACTTTGGGAAATGACCAAACCACTTCAATAGTTCTCCTGAAATAAAAACTACATGTCTGTGTGGACACAGAAATACATGTAATGCCTATACAGAAAAAGCATGTCCTTTGCACCTAGGACTTTTCTTAGCTGATGGCAGAGCACTTAACCCAGCAGGCAAGCGCTGGTTTACAACGGGAAACTGAGGCACCAAGCAATGACGTGGCTTGTGTAGGAGCTGCTGTGTAGATGCCTACATTCATCCAGCCAACAAACATCCACCATCCTGACACCAAATCACTTGTATGGGTCAGCAAACACACAGGGATCCAACCCAAGCTGCTCCACACCCAGAGGCATCCCAGGACAAGCTCCAGGGATCAGGAAGTCTCTTGGAATAAGTATCAATACCTGAATATTAACTATGACAAGGGATGAAATAAAGCAAAAAAGAAAAAAATCAAGTCTAACCGAGACATTTCACTTAACTGAAAGGAGAGAGTTGGGACTGGACAGACTCTTTCCTACAAGGACTTTCCCTTTTGCCTGAACTTGAGAGAATTCTGGGTTTAAAACTCGAGGTTCCCCCTGGGGCTGCAGCACCCCATGGCCCTTGGGGCTCACTGGAAAGGAGAGGAGCTTCCCCGTCCCGTCCCCGTACACCTCTCCTCCCTCATCCAGGAAGGATGAGGATTTTTTTTAACGTTGCTTGTCTGAGGCCAAGCCGACCCACCCAAGGGCAGAGAGAGCTCCAAAACCCTGCTCGGGGGATCCCTGCGGGAACGCTGGCAGAGCAGGAGGATGAGGATGGACCTTCCTGCCGGGCTGCGGCTGGGTCCTGGCTCTTGGCAGCGGCACTTTGGGGCGGGACGGGGTGTTTCAGGGATCCCCATCCCGCTGCTCGGAGCGGCGGCACCGGAGGGTTGTGCCCGGCGGGGGAGCGGGGTCCCCAGGGCGGGAGGGGACAGGCCA